TAGAAACTTCCATTATGCTCATTTATTGAGTAGGGCTTAAATACACCTTATGCCTTGAGACAGCGTTAAATGTTCGTTTTTAAAAGGACAGGAATAAAAAACTTGAAGACAGTCGCTGTTGTTTGCTTGTGTAACGCAGCAGATCCAACAGAGCTTTGCATGGTACATGTGCGGGTCTAGCATCTTGAATATACGCCTACAAAGAAAGTTGATTCGTCTGAGTAAGGTTCAAACACTTACTTACCCTCATCTAAACTAACTTTTAAAAAGAGCGAACTGCAAAGAAGAAATAAGTGATTTTTGGTTTCGGAAACGATGTTATTGTTAATTTTTAAACACGGAAAATCAAACACCACTTACCTACAAAAATGCCCGTATTTCAGCTTTTACTTCACCTCGGCTGCTGAGACAACTCCCAAGCAAAGTTCATGTGTTGGACTACAAATCCCCAAAGTTTTACAGCCATACATACAATACAAACGAAGATATTCAAAGAAAACTAAATCGGAAACCTAAATTCACTCTCGCTTTGTGTTTATCAATGTGTAACGATCAAATTTCAAGCCCGCTCTACATTGAAATCCGCACAAATAGCGCGCGAAAAACGCTAAACTTCGCCTGATTTTCTCGTTGAAATCAAGCAACAAACATCGAAGGTCTCCTATGTAACATCTCCTCTATGTATGCAGGGAGTCCTTATGAATAATTCAGGGTAGGCAAGAAAACACGTGGATGTCTGACCGCCGCTAATTATTGCGACACGCGCGATTTGACAACAACAAACCAATTCGAAACAACAGCAAGATGAATAGAAAAAAGGAAAGCTCTTCGAATGCCGAAAAAATGAAGAAGTGGAGAGAACAAAAGTTAGAGAAGAAAAGAGAAGCAGACAGAAAGTACTACGAGCGAAATCGTGAGCGCAAAATTGCCGACGTGAAAGAGTACAAACGCAAAACGAAGCAGACAAATGTTGGCGTGACACGGCGGTCTCAGCACGAGAAACAAAAGCAATTTGCAGCTAAAAAGAAAAAACAAGAGGAGAAAGATGCAAACGAGGAAAGAAGAGCAAAAATTCGGCAGCAAACCAGAGAAAGAGCAAGACGATTACGGGAGAAACGAAGGCAAGAAATACGCCAAAGTTCAGATGAGGATACTGCCAGTCCTTCGAGACCCACTTTCCCGAACAGGATGGCAAAGAAAAGGGCACTGAAGAAAACGGTTGAAGCTATGCCAAAAACTCCGGAAAAAAAGGCGGAACTTTTTGAAGCGATTTCATCTAGTCCAAGGACAAGAAAAGTTCTTCAAAAGAAAGGCGTAATAAAATCCCCCGAAGAAATAAAAGAAACTGTGGCACTACGAGCCCTTGCGGCGGACATTTCGGAAGGAGCCGAACATGTTAAAAGGAGCCGCTCAAAGAACACACAAGCTGCGTATTCAGCATTTAAACTTCTCGCCTTTGGTCAAAATGTTGCCAAAGCCAGAGCGAAAAAGACCCTTTCCACAATGGTAAATCTTGGACGGAAGAGCGTGGGAAAGGCAGTCAAAGAGCGCCAAAAAATATTATCGGGG